CCCTATCCCAAGTTTCAACCAAAACTGTGATGATTTCTAGTTTTCTCCCTCATACCATAGATATACCTTCCGTAACCCTCACTGTGACGTCATATGGCGGAACAGCAGCGGCGAATGTAGCTTACATCATAATCTATATTCTGGCAAAATCTGAGTGCTTCGTATTCAACGAGAGGAGAGTTATTAAAGAGCGAAATTTAGTTTCCAACCCAATAAAATTTATTATTTTTGAGAGTTTTTATTGGCAATCCATGTATTGTACTTGAAACAGTATAAATTGAAAATCAAACAAATTAACGCTATGAAAATTTCATAAGGTTGTTTTTACACTTATCCCAATCGCTTATTATGGGTTTTTGAAACTATTGCCCTTGGAGCCTTTCTTTTTTCTTGCAGGAGGGACACAAAGCAGCCGTCGCTGCTCTCAAGAAATTCGAAAAGGAGTTGAAGGAGTATGATAAAGATATTAAAATGCACCAGAATAAAGTTGATGCTACGGATAAGAAACTTGTCTCACTGGTAAGCACCTTACATGTCGAATACCCATTTATCTCAAGCTGATGACTAATATTCTGTTTAGAAGTCAAAGAAGGAAGCTATGGAAATGGATATTCAAAAGTATAAAGACGAAGCTGTTGCCTATAAGAAGCTGGTGAGTGTTGAAAGACTGCAAACTTTATCAATTCTCTTTCTTGTATTTTTGACATTTTAGCAAACTGCTGTATATCACGCCTGATATTTGCGTGGTCTATGTATTGTTTTTAGGCCCATCAAAAGATGAAATCTCATCCATGGATAAACGACGAGAAATCACATTTTGGCAAGAAAAACACCGAATATGATTTTACAGGGTGAGTCAGATGACGTAGCGTTTATTCAAGCCGTAAATTCTAAGCGCGTCTTGAACAACGGCTCATCCATCAGGCTTTGGCTTGGTGGTTTGCTCTTGGAACTTGTGTTTTATTGAGTTCTCCAGGGGTTTGCGATACATATCATGCATGGAAGAGAGTTATTATACCATCGTTTTTTTGTACCGCACATCGAAAGTCGCTTTTATAAGACAAAATGGGAAGGGAAAAGGGGGAGGGGAAACTTGTAAGAGTTATGGAAGTGATTTTGCTATGAAATTGTGCAGTCTAATTCGGTTTAATGAGTAATTTAAGCAGCTCTATAAACATCCAGAAACCAAAATTGCTATAGAATTCTTTCTGGGGCGTAGATTAAGCCATTCCTTCCTTTTTTTATAAAATTTAGATTGATAGGCGATTCTTGTTGGATAACCCCTTCCCTCTCTCTAAACTTTCCATTACGTTCATTTGCGAGCTAAATGTT